AGTTGGCAGCCTTGTGCTGAGGGAAGGGGATGACTCCAGACAGGAGTTGCAAATGCACCTGTTGTATCTCCAGTACCAAAGTAGTGTCCCAAGTCCTGATACCTCTTAGGCATCCTGGAAATAAATATTAGCAGACATCAGGAAAATCTATCACAAAAGAACAAGAGTGATAAGGGGGGCAGGCAGGGCAGGGACAAGCCTGGCATAATTTTTTTTGTCCCCTCACTTTCTTTCCCTTTAAAGCATGCTTTCTGTTTTGTTGTTTTCCAAGGTTAGCCCTAGAGCACCTGAACAGACAGGCACCAGCTGAGGACCAAACTAGAAGGACAGAATAAGCCAGAGGAGGGGAAGAGAGATACAAGACATCAAACCTACCCAGAGAGAAAAGCAAGCTGCGTTAGTGAACCTCTAGAACCCTTCCAACTTCATCTAGAACCACCACTTACCAACTGGCATCTCAGGTAGAACCTCACAGGCCAGCTTGCTGTTTCCTGAAGGCAGTAGCAGCAGCCTGGCATCTTACTTGCAAGACAAGTCCCTCAAAGCAGATAGAGCTGCCTCACTTGCCCTGGTAAGAGGCTCTGGGTTACAGCACTGGGCCTCATCAGTCTCTGTAATATGATTGGGAAATATGATACACCTGTCCTGAATTAGAGTAGATAGGTTTATCTCATTTCAGAGCCAACTCACGGCTGGGTAGAGATCAGATCAGCTGTAAGAAATTCTTTTTATTGTGCAACTTGTTATTCATGGTAGGGTGAAAATGGCTTCAAAGGTGATCCCCAATCTGAGGGATATCTTCTTATATCTAATGTAGTTTATACAAACCAAATTGGTTTTTGCTTCAAACAACTCTCCGCAGAAGAAAATCAATTTCAAGATGCAATGGCTGTGATCTTTCAAGCTAAGGATCCATTGCAAACATACCAAGTGTTCGGCAACGCGAAGCTGCAGAGACAGGACAAGTAATGCACATTATCAACATATGTGCTGCATCCAAATCAAGGTTTCACTTCCAAAGCACTGAATAATCCACTGCCACTCTAACAACAGCTTCACTATCACAAGAAAAATATGTAGTGACCAGATAAGCAAATTTGTTTTAACCCCTACGGCATTCTGGGGCAGCCATTTCTAGCCATTGGATCAGTTGTCAGTCAAAATAAAAAAACCTGAAGGTGCAGAGTGCTGGCCTGACATCCACCCAAGCTCTCTGCAGCCCTGGAAGAAGGTGTTTTCATGCTCAGATGAGTTGTAACATCCCTGGTTACCCCTCAGTCTCACATGACCTGCTGCAGCAGCAGCAGCATCACATCTCCACAACTTACTGTGCATCTTGCGAACCGACCCCCCTTGCCCTCTGTCAGTCAGCCTCCATGCCTGTGCTTTCCACCACTGCCAAGCCTTCAAGAAAAATCTCTTTCACTTCAGCTTGTGCACAACCCTCCCCAGATCAACTCTCCAAGGATTAGTAAGGAGGTGCAAGCAACCTCAGGATGAGGTTTAGGCACCCTTCCAATCCCACATGCTCTTTTGCTTCTTGTAAGCTGACCATTGCTGTGTGTGTCCTTGTTGTCAGTGGCCCCAGGCAGCTGAAGTCCAGCAAAACTCGTAATAGCTATCTAAATTGTGTCAGCTTAGCCCAAGAGAGTCAGAGTTAAAGGTAGCAATACCCTTGGATCAGATTGTGACTGCACATAGTCTTTGGGTCTTACTCTGCGTTTAGAGTAAACAACCATCTCTGCTAGAGAGAATAGGCTGGATGTTCGTGGAGGTGATCCAGGAAATGTCAGCAGGATCAGAATTCATGAAAACTGCTTAAAGTGCACCTAACACAGATTCAACTAAATCCACTTCAAATGCAAGAACAGCATTACCGTACCAGGATGCTGACCTCCACTAAAATAGGCTCAGGCAACTTCTCCAAAGCTGAGAGAAGGAGTCATGGCATTGTATCTCTCTGCTGCACAGACGCACAAACGTGGACTGTTATGCGTCTCCATGGTCAGAGTTAGTCGGACTCTACACATGTAGTGTGTGTTTAATACCCGACACAAGCATGGCTGCTCTGAAGGATCACAGCAGCACTGCAGTGTCGCATGCTCTTTTTGGTTAGAAAACCAAGGACTGGGGGGCTTTGCTCTAGTGCTGTGTTACAAACCTGACCTCATGGTGTAGCTCTGAGTCTCTGGGGCTGAATTTGCAGCTCACTCAAAGCACAGCCACTCCACCCATGGCCAGGTAAGGCTGCCAGTTTGCAGAGGGCCCTGCCACAGCATTAAGGTCCCTCGTGCGCTCTGAGCGTCCTGGCAGAGGGCTCCCTGCTGTAGCAGAGGCAGCTGCTACTCTACAGGCAAAACAACCCTCTTCTTCACACAGGGTACACCGAAAATTTTAAAACTAGGAAGACTTGTATCAATTTGACCTTTAGACGGGAGTCTGCTTCTTCCCACTTCTCTCAGCCTGAGCAGTGAGAACAGGCTAGCCAGGACACTTCTGTCTGCAATAAGGTCGCAGCCCAAGGTAGGAAAGCTCGGGTCACTGAAACTGGAGGAAAAAGTATGTTTACAACCAGTAAATTTGTTCACATGGAAGATCTCTTTTTTCCACCTTCTGTTAAAAATAACTTTAAACACATTTCTATTGTCTGGCAGACTCTAAAACCTTTCAGCTTGGGAACAGTCCTGATTTTGCAATATCCTTTTATTACATGTATCAGGTTACATATAAGCTTTCAATGCTTCTTTCCCTTTATCTTTTTTTTTCCTCCTTGGTTGGTTGGTTGATTGGTTTGTTTTACAATTGAATTTTAAATTCAATTTACAATTGAATTTAACCCTATACAATAGCAATGTCTTGTCTGGACACTTTTTTCACATAAACCACAGGAAAATAAGAGACGACAGTCATTGCGATGGGCAGTTAATAAGTAACTGCTAGAAGAGTGCTTACACAAAACCCAACCTTGAAATTCAGTCATGTTTTCTTTTGTACATCACACACAACCAGCCTGGATTTCCTTAGTGCCCGAGTAATACCAGAGAAAACAAAACAGTCCCCTACACCACAAAAGCAGCATTCTTACCTGCAAATTTACATGTTGCTTTTCATCAGCTCTAAGTCAAAATGCAGCTCAACTCAAAATTTAATTAGACTCAATTGGAGAGGTAGTAGCTTGTAACAGGTTTTTATTCTTACAGGGTTCTGAAGGCACTTCCAGTGAGTAATAGAACAGTGGACATATGGAAAACATCCATAAACCTGGCATAATTCCACTGGATTTCAGCCCTTAAGTCTCAGTGTAAGGTGGACGCCCGTATCAGTCTTCCTTAAACTCTTCAGCCACCTAAACTAGCCACGTAATATTAAAACTGGAGCTGGATTGAAAATTCAAAATTAATTTAGCGAGAATGCTAAAGAGCTACAGCTTCTTCTGCTGCTTGTATGCTGATTATCAAAAGTTTGTAATCTGCTTGATTTTGCTTCCTTCACCAGTTCTACAAACAATTCTACCCCATAGCTTTTCACTAAAGCTTTTAAGATCTGAAATTTGAGCAGCACAGATCCTATTACACAGTTGTATCAGAGTCCAAGCCATGAAGAATACGAGCCCATTACACTATAGACCTTGGTTTGCTTAGGGCAGGGTGCTGAGTTGACCCTGGCTGGCAGCTAAGCCCCTACTTATCCAGTCACTCACTCGCTCCCTGCCAAACAGGATGGGAGAAAGAATCAGAAGGGCGAAAGTGAGAAAAAGTTGTAGGTCAAGATGTGGGTCCTTCACTTTAATAAGTGAAGGAAAAGGAAAGAAAAAAAAACAACCAAGTGATGCAAAGGCAGTCATCACCACCTGCAGACTGATGCCCAGCTAGTATCCGAGCAACATCTACTGTGGAAAAACTCCTCCCCAGTTGTTTTATTGCTAAGTGTGATGTTATACGATATGGGATATCTCTTTGGTCAGTTTGGGTCAGCTGTCCTGGCTGTGTCCCCTCCCAACCTCTCGCCCAACTCTAGCCTACTTGCTGGGGCAGCAGAGTGAGAGATGGAGAAGGCCTTGACACTGTGCAAGCACAGGAGTAACTAAAACACTGTTGTGTGTTACTGATACTGTTTTGGTCACCAGTCTAAAACACAGCACCATACAGGCTGCTATGCGGAAAATTAACTCCATCTGAACTAGAACTTGTACAGGCAGATGATAAGGGTCATGGGGCTAACTCCAGAGGCTGCCAGTCCATTGCCAGTCCAGTACTGCTGGTATTCCATTCAACAAAACCTAATACTTGGCTTTCTCTCTGTTCAAAACATTCAGGCTTCACTAAAAGTTTGGCAAACTGAGGCAGGGAAATGAAGTAAGCTATCCCAAGTCACTCCTAGAAGCAGTAGAAGGGATTAGCACTCAGGGCTGGTGCTGCTGATGCTTTTCTTGAACCACAGTCCTCCAGTCTTCATCCACCAGTCCTGTTTTCCTGTTGCCTCACTGGATAATGAAGGATATTTGAATTCAGTTTCTCTCTCTTTACTACCAAATTATTACATTGACATGTTGTAAGCCGAGGTTCTAAGCATTGATGCTTTGTGTTGTTATCTCATAGCACTTTGATGGTACAGAGAGAGGATGAGTACAAAATAAGACTTCCCCCAGCCCAACTAAAACCAAGTAGATTTATTCTCACTGGAACATGGATCCCCTTCGGGATGGAAGGGGAAGTTTAAGGTGCTTTTTTTGTGGGTTTTTTCTTTTCTTTTGCATAGCCTTGGTTGGCTCTTTAAAAGGCAGTAGTAGTTCGAGCCCTAGTTTCTGCTCTGGATCTAATTTTCCCAAGGCACAAGAAGTGACTTACCTGGAGATTATAAAGGCTTTCACAAAGCTCAACAGCAAGGATTAGAACCATATTTCCTACTTTTCTGTTCTTTCAAGTCAGTACAAAATGTTACCAAAAAGCATTACTACCAAATGACATTAGGGCTTAAGAGGTAAAAGCATAGGAGCCCATCTAGATACACCTATCGATGTCACGTAGATCGGCGCACACCATGATGATAAATGTCTAGGTGAGAAACAAATACAAAGCAAAAAAGGTTCATCTGTCTCCACCGTATTTTAATAAGTGAAATAAACGTAAAAGTATGAGTTGGATTTCAATAGCAGTCAGCCTTTCCCATGACGTGATGCAAGCGGAAGACTTGCTAAATGCCATATTTGGGCTAACTTTGGAGACTGCCAGTCCATTGCCTGCTTACATAAAGTTTCCCTGGAGTCAGGCTGATACCCTCTGGCTTCTCGAAACGCACTGCTGATCCATAGGGCTAATCTAATTTCTTGGATCATAATACAAGCTGCAGTCTAAGGCTTATGGTCGATGGATGCAAGAGACACAATCACCAGTTTGCTGAGTGGCTGCTGCTCCCCAGGTCTGTTAGGTACCTGGTGGCTTTTGGGCCTGCGAGAGACTTAGCTGAATGATGCTGCTCTCTTGTAGGGGACACTATGCCTGATGTTACCTTCCCCATTGCCCGCCTTCCACCATGCCCAGAAGAGTTCACAGTGATCATCTTAGTGTGTGTTTTGGAACAGGAAGGGTTTGGTATAGCTTTTGGATTTCACAAAATGCAAGACAGCTGAAAAGCTGGTCAAATAACTTCCTCCTAGAATACATCCCTGCAGCTCCCACGTGTCTGTGTACTCCAGTACACACACATACACACATAGTGAGGTCGCTGTTTCTGGTAAGACAAAGAAGAGCATTACCTGTTCAGAGAGCTCTGGCTGTTTGTAGAACAGGTATTTTTGGCTTAGGTGGAAAATAACAAAGCTAGATGGGTCTGAGGTCCTGATCAGAGTGTACCTCCCATGTGCTGGACTTCAAAACTGATGCCAAGTTGTTCATTTCTTTAAGTTTTCAGAATTGAAGTGCCTGCACCTGGGCAGTCCTAGGCTGCAGGCTTGGTACAGGTGTGAAAATGTGAAGCTGCAAACTCTTGGGAGCTGCTTTCCTTTGTCAGCACTAGACAGGGAATTACTACCACTTGCCTGTAACCACCAGTGTGAAAAGTAGGTGTGATATTGCCTAGTTCCATTAAACAGAAGGAGCCCAAGGTCACTACCCTTCTTTGTGAAATGGCTCCATTCTATTTTAATACTTCCCTTTGTTTCCTGCGCAAAGTGGTGACATGGTAACAATGCCATCTCCCACCATGAAATGACGGCTTACTCCAGCCCTTTCATAACAGAAGCCCTTGAGGTTTGCACCAAGGGAGCTTGATTAAGTTAGTAATCACTGCAGCACACAGAAAGCATTTATACCCTGTGACCTTTTGTAAATAAAGAGTTACACTGGTTCTGCCTCTAAAGCCAGGGAGATTTACACATACAGCTTTCTCCCAGCACTAAGGGAGGAGAAATGGAGGCAGTAAAATCCTGAAAGCCAGCAATTTATTCAAGAAGAGATGCTGAGAGCACTTGCAGGCTCAAAGCTTGTGTTTTTTTACCTATAGTTTGCAGCACAGGGAACAAAGGATAGGATTTTCATTAAAGCCTAGCATTTTGAGAGACATAAACTGTATCTTTTTCAAGTCACATTGACGGTCCTGCAAAAGTTCTCTTCAAGAGTTGTTACCACCCAAGAGCTGTGTGTGCAGCTCCTGGTGATTCACTTGCCTGCTACCTGTTGCTGAGGTGGAATCTGCTCAGAAAGACAGGCTGGAAAGGACCTTCCAGTCTTCTCCTATTCCTAAGACCCCTTCTGAGGCCATCTTCCTATTCTTCTTTGGCAGTCACCTCACTCCCACATAGCAATAGCACCGGACATGACCTGTGGTTGATCACTTGTCTCCAAAACCTGAAGAAATAATTTCTGCCAAGTCTGCCTATGCTGAAAGACTTTGTAAGACAGGTACTTTCTGACCTAGGCTTCCCTGCTCACAGGTGTGACTGGGGGAATCCCAAATCTTTTCTTCAGTACTTCACATCTTGAGCTACAAGACACCTGGGAAGTAAAACCAGGTAATATCCCTTTTCCTTTCTCAGAGCAGTCTCTAGTTTTAAGTACCTCCTCTGTTCTTTCAGTAGCAGCAGTTCATGGGAGGCCCCAGTTCTGTAGTCAGGAAATTGGGAAACACAAATATGACACAATTACCTTCAAATACCAAAAATATTACTTTTATGGAAGAAAAGTGAAAATTTGACTTATTCCAGATCTGAAGCAGTGAGAGACACACAGTGAGATTATAGGGGAGTTTTCAGTGACCGAGGCTCACCCATGGCCTTCAGAGAGGAGAAATAATCATGTTACTGCCTTTCCTCCCAGCGTCACAGCAGTTTATACCCTTTAATCTCACACACTGAATCCTTTGTTTGCTTGGGCTTTGGAGTTTCAGCAACCCCCATGTGCAGTTAGCACCAAGCAGGATTCTCCCACTACTTGCTGGTTTGATCCTGGTCACAGCCATAAATGACCACCCTGCCTCCGCATACACAACATGTACGTGGATCAGATACAAATCCAAATGTGCAACACAGCTTCACCCATGCTCATCCGCAGCAATGAAAAGTGCAAAGATAATTCAGTGTTTTCCACTTGATCCCAGGCGACATTTCTTAGCATCCCTTGGCAAAACCATCCTTGCGCACCAGCCTCACCCCCAAAAGCTATTGAAATACTTGTTTTGCTGAGTCCAAGTTTCCTTTTGGTCTCCAAGGCTCTTCCACCTGTGTTTCCAGAGAGATTAATAAATACTGTGCATGCCGAACTTCTGTAGGGCCCATCACAGGAGCCCCAGAATCCTGCTAAAACATTTCAAGTTTGTTTTTTTTGCCGTTCCTTCCCATTGAATGTATGACTGCCAACAGGCCAATACCACTGCATGCCTTGCAGACAAGATCCATTCAACCTGGAGCGCCATGTCCTTATTTTTATTTGAATTACTCTTCTCCTGTCCCACGGTACACAAGGACCCCAACGGTTTTGCATTTGAGCTCCATCTGGTGCATCTTGGCTGCACGTAGCAATGTCTCAGTGCCCATTC